AACACTGCCTTCTTCCTAAGGATATCCCTAAAAATGCAAATGCTCTGGGAAAGGATAATTAAAGCCATTATCACTTTGTGAGATTGAATTTCTGTGTGCTTTTTCTCCTACACATAATAGCTCACTACATACTTGGCACCTGGAAAAGGATAAAATGGCTCTGAAAAAAGTGAAAGAGCAAAGGATAAACTTCACAACTTTGCTTGAGTAATCTTTGCCAGTTAATTGTTTATTAGCTACCTTTTGAAAAGAACCTTGAGAAAATGGTATTAGTGGTTACCCCTAAGCAAGGAAACTGGGTAATCAGGAACAAAAGTGGGGTGAGGGGACCAGACTGACCTTCACTATATAGCCTCTTCTACTTTTCAGCTTGGAACTGAAGTCATGTATAATCTATTCAAAAACTATTTATTTTTAAAAACCCAGTCTTCCCCTGCCAGTTGTCTTATTTCAGCTTTTGGATATTTGTTTAAGGGGCTTTGACATATAGAAGTTGATCTTATTTTCCTCTAAAAAGTATTCATTTAAAGTGATTGTCTTCTCAAGGCTAATTTATTTGTTTTCAAAGTATTAATCATATTAAAATATTCATATTCCTGAAGACAAAAAGTTATCAACCAATTAACATCATTTGTTGACTTTTTGTATCGACAGTTTTCTCCACTAAAACTTAAGCTTTCTGTATGCAGACAGGGTCTATGTTTCATTAATTTTTGGAGATCCCATTGTAGAAAACTCTGGGCTTTTAGAGAAAGATTACTTCCTCGAGTTTGGTTTTCAGTACTATCTTACAAGGCAGAAAAGTTATTAAATATAACACAATGTTTTGATTATGAAGGATTACTCAGGATTGTTATGGAAACAAAGCAACAATCAGAGACAGAGACAGCTGAAGGGAGAAAGAAGGGAACAATAATTATATACTACCTGAACTTGTAATGAAACTTTTGGGACTCTATTGATTGGGGATGCTTGCAAAATACCAAATATATCATTAGGAGAGCTAAAGTTGACCTAAAATCATTGCCACATTGGTTCAACAAAACATTTGCTGCATGACTGTTGTGTGCAAATGTTGAACAATGCAATCATGATTCCTGTCTTCACAATTTTCGTAACAGTGGCCCATACAGAAAGGTAAACATATGGTAAATACCACACGGTTACTACCATATGATAACTACTATAAAAGGAAGTATAGAGAGCTATAGGAGTTCATAAAAGGAAAACCAATTCTATGCTTGGGAAGGTAATATTTAATATCACAGTGATGGGACCACTGTCCTAGTGTTCTGCAAACCTGAGTTCAAATCTTGATTTCATTGGCTCCACTATATAACCTTGGCCAGTTTATTTAGTTTCTCGAAACCTCAGGTTCACCAACTTTGAAAAAAGAATAATGACAGTTCTGGGATCAAAGAGATGGTGAGAGCATTCAATGAAATGCAGCTTATAAATCCTGCAAAAGATCTGGCAAATGGCAAATACCGAAGGTAATAATAATAACAATAACAGCAAGCTGAGAAAGATGAATAGGAACAACCAGGAGGAAGCATGTCCCATGCAAAGGAGAAATGTGTATTCAAAGCAATAATATGGTGCTCTTGAGGGAAAGAACCTGGTTTGTGCTAAGGTTTGGAAAGCACCTGGAGTGGAGTCAAGATGCAGCTGAAGGGCCTCCCTGGTGGCGCAAGGGGTTAAGACGCAACCTATGAAGCTATCTGCAGCCACTGCAGCATGAATTCGATCACCGGTCAGGGAGTTATCCACAGGGCACAACAGACCTCTCCTGGCTGGCCCGCTGCTCCCCTCAGCAGTGTGTTTGAGTCGAGCTGCCTGTTCTGCTCCCCACTCTGTCTCTGGTGAACCTCTCACCCTCCACATCTCTGCCCTTTACCCCAGTTCTTCTATGCATAAATAAATAAATCTTTAAGAAAAAAAGATGCAGCTGACATTGGAAATGCAAGGAGAGCACCATGGGTTTAGAAGACTCAACAGAGGCCCCTTAAGAAATTTAATCATGATCCAGCAATTCCACTCCTAGGTATTTACACAAAGGACACAGAAACATTAATTCCAAAGGGCACCTGCACCCCTGTGTTTATAGCTGCACTATTTACAATAGCTAAGCTTTGCAAACAACCCAAATGCCCAAAAACAGATGACTGGATCAAGAAGATGTGGTACATATATACAATGGAATATTACTCAGCAATCAAAAAAGATAAACTCATGCAATTTGCAGCAACATGGACAGAACTGGAAGGGATCATGCTCAGCGAAATAAGCCAGAAAGAAAAAGAAAAATACTGGATGGTCTCATTCATAGCAGGAATCTAGAAAACCTAAATAAGAGACCAGGAAAAAGAATAAGTGTAAGAAAGAAAAAATCAAAACCAACAAGCAACTATAAACCAGAGACACACTATGGGGGAGGGGCGGGGAAAGGAGGGATTGGGGTGAAAATAAGGGGGGTTCAATTGTATGGGGAATATAAAAATTACAAATAAATAAATAAGTAAATAAATAAACACTGTTAACAGAAAAAAAAAAGAAAAGAAATTAGTGGGAGTTCAAAGGAGTTAAATAAAACATGGAAAATTGGGGAAAAAACAATGATCTATACTTTAAAAAAATTAAATCAGAGGAGAGATAGGGCCAGATTTGAGTTTCAGAACCATCAGTGTGGTTACAGTGTGGAGAATGGAATGGGGAATGAGATGGTTGAAGGCAGGGAGATCAGTGATAATGATTTTTAAATAATGCTTTGGTTGATGTGGAATTTCACAGCTAAGGAGGCAGGCATCATGTGAAAAATACATGCAACAATCCCCGGGAGGACCTTGAAGTAATAATTATCAGCTTATTGGTATCAGTTAAGTAGCATTTCATTCATTCATTTATTCATTCATGCATTAAGTACTTATTAACATCAACCCAGGCAGTGAACTGGTGCTGTGAGAAATTTCAAAGTGAGTTACCCTGCATGTCCCTGTTCTCCAAAGCACCCCACACAACATGACTACCTGTATTGTTCACCCTGGCTGGAAGATTCTTTACTATAATGAAACAGATCATGTGCAGTGCCAAAGGCATCTTTGAGGAGAGACAACATGCCTGCATGACACTCAAGCTTTGAGGCATAGAAGTTTAGAGTAGAACCTAAGGCATAAAGTGTCCTTCACCCTGGGAAAGGAACTATCAATATAATTATATCAGTGTATAATAGATTCCTTAGTCCTCAAGAAGGAGCAAATCTTCCATGACCTATTTTTAAGTGGATCATAAGAAACAACATTGACTGAATGTACTGTCCAATACATTTCAGATGAATTAATGTATTACAAAAACTCTATAAAACAGGAATTATTATGTTTACTTTATAGGTAAGAAAACTGTAACAAGAGATGCTCCTCAAAGACAAGGAATCAGATCCAGTCTGATATTCACTGCTCTATGTGGTCTGGTTGAGAGCTGATGTAATAATGAAGCCAAATTAAAATGTATGCCTCAAACTCTGATGCAGGAGAAAGATCACCACCCACTGAAGTATCAGGAAGTGCAAAACTTGGAATATTTTATTATAGGACTGAAATGAGATAGAATGAATAAATATGGCGGCAGTCTCTTGAGAGGCAATTGAATCACCCTCATCAAGTGAGAACCACTGAGAATGAGTTTTTGATATTATATATTCTTCTAGGTACAAACTTCAGCTCTGCTAGATGGCCTAGCACACATTAGAAAGTATTCAAATGACATTACAGGCTTATCAGTTTAAAAGAGAGTGGACATCTCAGAGACTCAAAGATGGAGAGGTGTAGCGAAGGAGATAAAAGAGCTCAGCAAATGAGACCTGTTACTCTTCTAGGTCTGCTAAGGTAGGGTGAAAAGAGGTGATGATCTCAGTGAGTAGTACGCAGTATAAGCTTATTTTCTCTATCATGTAAGGTTCTATCAACCAAGTAGTGGAACATGTAAAATAAGGTTCTTTTTACTGAAAGTTCTAGAAGGCATTTCCAATGAGAAGTGAATAAAGACAAAACAGGGGGCAAAAACCCTAAACCTCCAGATATTAAAGAAATTACCAGCTCCTGCAATGCCACTTGACGACAATAGCGTCGGAGAGTCTTAAGCCGGCCTGGTTAGCGGACAGTCAGAAAAATCCCAGGCCAGATGGCATTCTAAAATCCAATCTCACTCTATTTGTCTCTCCATGAATGTATGTACCTTGTGTTTAAAGCAATCACAGCCATTTTCACAGGCTGTGATATTTTAAAGTAGTCTCTAGCCCTTGTGAACACAAAAAGCTTTAATTGCTGTGAACTTAAGAATATAGACTATAAACATTTTGGAATCTGTGAAGCAAGTATTCCAGTTACACACAAACACACAACACCCTGCAAAAGTACAGCTTTTCAAACCTAGTTCGTCCCTGCATCTTCACCGTGGCTCACCAGCAAACCACTCTCCTTAACATTCATCTATCTGCCAGCGCCTTTAGGTGGGACGATCACCAGAAAGGTAACACGAGATGCCCCAGGTATGTGGGCATTGACACCTCGCTAATTCAACAGACCAGCCCTGCTCCCAAGCTCCAGGCAGGACTTGGGGGCTTCGGTGTCAGCCTCCACCCGCTCGCCTGGAGCGGCACCCCTCCCTGGGGAAACACTCAGAGTCGCACAGTCTTTGCTACTGTGTAATCTTTACAAATAAAAACGCTTCTGAGCTGGATTCCCCACCCCACCCACCTGCCTGAGTCTACACCACCGCACTCCATCGCCTCGAAGGCACCCAAACTGCGCCGACAGCCGGGAGGCGTGAACAATGAACTTCTCCCTCCGACTCTCTCACACGTCCTTGCCCCCAAATGGGAAGTTCCGAACTGGCCCGGGGGCCCATTCCGCGATCTCCCCGGCAACTCGGGCGCGGGCGGCGGGGGTGGGCCCGGCACGCGTCCCCGGCCGCGCCCCTCGCGTCGTCGCCGGGCGGACACTCACCTCCTTCCTCCGGCTCGGCGCCCCGGGCCGGGTGATGAGGGCCGTCTCCTCGCACACCACGGCCACGTCCTCCACGAACACGCAGTCCGGGAGGCTCTCGTCGGCCGGCAGCTCCATCACCTGCAGCCCCAGCTTACTGCCCAGCACGCCCACGTAGAGCTGGTGCTGCCGCTCGGCGCGGGCGAAATCCACCTCGTCGCCCTTGGTGCGCCTGAGCGCGTGCTGGCCGAGGGACTCGGGCGGCTTCCGCACCACCGCGTGGGTGACCCGGCCGAAGGCTGCAGGGTGGCCGAGCGCGGCCATGGCTCCGGGCGGCGGCCGGGCGGCGGCGGGGTCGCGGCGGCCGGGCGGCGGCGGGGTCGCGGCGCGGGGTCGCGGCGGCCGGGCGGCGGGGTCGCGGCGGCCGGGTGCTCCCGCGGGCAGCGCGCGCCGAGCCTGCGAGCGCCCGGCGGCTCCCTTGGCAGCCGATGAATGTGGTGCAGAAGGAGCCCGGCTCGCGCCCGGAGCCCTGCCCGCGCGACTGAGCATGCCCAGAGCTCCGGGCGCCGGCCCGCGCGCAGCCCGCGCCCACCCCGGCGAGGTCGGGTTTGGCGGCCGCCGGGGCGGGCGCCGCGGGAGCCGTGGGGTTTGGGGCGGCGGCCGAGAGAGCCGCGAGGGCGAGGGGTGTCCGCGGGAAGGACGCCCCGGCGAGCAGTCCCTGCCCCCCCCCCCCGACCTGACGTTACCTGGGTTCCGCCGCAGGTGCACTCCGCACTCGCCCGCCCCCGCGGCGACTTGGGGAGCGGGCGGTGGTCTGGACCGAGCCACTAGGGGAGCTTCTGGGTGATCGGGAGGCATGAGACGGACTGATTGCTACGTGGAGAAATGCTTTGACCTCTCTCGACCTCGCTCTAGTGCGCTCAGGTTGCCCCGCATCCGGTACCACAATCTGTCTTCACACCCAAGTCCCCACTTTACCTTGACATTCTGTGCAAATGACCTCTCAGCGCACGTGAGACTCGTTTCCGTCGGCGAGGACGACCGTCGTCGAAGAGGAGAGAGAGAGAGAGAGAGAGAGAGAGAGAGAGAGAGAGAGAGAGAGAGAGAGAGAGAGAGGACAATCCTTTTTATTGAACAACGTGGTTCAGGCATGTTTGTCCCTCACACAGTGAGGGGAGGCAAAGACCAAACATGTTTTCCTCCCGGTGCACTTGTGCTCACCTTGCTCAGTGTCAAACGTGTTGTTTCACAATCCTTATCACTGGAAACGGTTTCCAACCTCCCGCTGGTCATTCCCTCACACCTGCACAAACTCCATGAAATTTCCGTGGTGTTTGTCGAACTCTTTTTCCGTACTCCTCAGGGAGTGTCTTTCTCATTTAATAGCAGGAAGCTTGCATTTTTTTTCCCCTCTCAAATATCTCAGGCTAAATATTCCATGGGTTCAACACTTTTTGAGTGGAAGACTCATGTCAAAAATCAGATTGTAATTCAAAAATGCGCTCAGGCAATAATCTTTACTCACGTTCTATAGTCTAAGTCCCTTCAACAACCTTTCTGATTTAAAGATTGATTGTATCATAGAACATTGTTTGAATGGGACCTTAGGGACCACCTTCTTTCACTTTCTGCCCTGTTCTTGAATTCTAGCTAAAACATTTATGTTGGTTATTGCATATTTACTTGAACGCGTTAAACCTCATTTACAAAGTCTTCTCCACTTTTGAAGAACTATAATAGTTAAAGAACCCCACTTCATTTGGGGCTGAAATCCCACTGACCCCACCATACTAGTATTCTTTCACAAGACAACACTCACATATTAGAAGATATTTCTAATATATATTTATGTTGCCTAACAACCCCTTCTACACCCTGGCCTGAACCTTCAGAAAATAACTGGTGATTTGATTTCTCAGTCACTTCAACATTCTGATCATCTTCCTTTTGATAATACCAGTTTGCTTGTAGCCCTTTTAAATCGTCTCCGGAAGAAAAATAATTCTTACTGTGTGGTCTGACCAGCACAGACTACAACAGAACTCTTGTTACAGATGCTGGGTTTCTATAACACTGTCCAAGATTGTATTCACTTTTTTGGTGGTCCAATGCCAAGGCTCAGGCACAGTCTTCTTGCCAGAAAGCTTGTTCCAGTTTTCAGGAAACGAGGGTTTCCAGGAGCAGGTCTAGCACAGGATTCTAGCATGGTTGTTCTAAATGAGCCCAGAGGAGATGTGATCTGCCTTCTCTCCCTTCTCTCAAAGGCAAAGGCAATGTGAATCTGCCTGGATGGCATGGCACTTCTCAGCCTCAGAAATGAGAGATCTTCTGTGAAAGATAGCTTTGACACTGACATTAGAGAGTGGGACCAACAATAAATTAACAAACGTTTATTTTATTTATTTTTAAAATTAATATCTTTATTTGTATATATTTTACATCAGGTATAGTCCTGAAGGGTAAAGAAATTGTCAGGCTTTTCTGCCCTCCCGCCATCAGGATAGATGATGGATCCTTGTCCTGAATGCATGCCTGATGGCGGGCACCTGGAATAGGGTGTGGGCCTAGGTAGATGGGATTCACCTGGGCTAAGACTATGCTTTTTTTTTAAGGGCGGCGTCACAGGGACGCCAGTAGAAGCCAAGAAGCTGAGAAAGTAGCAGCAGAAGCTGAAAGAGAAGAGGCCCGAAGCAGAAGCAGAGAAGGCCGGAGAGCCCAGATAGACTGAAGATTTGCTGGGGGCTGGGAGGACTGCCAGCCTCCCAGACCCCCAGCACCCCTGCTGCCTTATGCCTGGTGAACCCCAATAAAAAACCTGCAAAACTACTGAGGACTCTGACTCCTCCTTTACCCGGTCTGCATGGGATCAGAAAACCTGCACTGTGTCCATTCCTGCCCTTACAAGTACCCATAGAATTTCTACCACCGGTCACCCGTGCACCATCATCTTAGTCCCTTGTGCTCTCCCCGCCTTCCTTTTACTCCCTCTTCCTCCTCTCCCCTGCAAAATGCCTCTGATTTATGGTTGTCTGATTATTTTTTTGTTGTGTTTTATTATTATTATTTTCCCTGATCCTTTATTTGGGATCCCCCATATACCTCCTATAGGTGAAACAATCCAATGTATAATAACAACCTTTAATATATACGAGGTTCTCCTTCTGAAATAAAAGTGTCAGAGGGCCTCAGGCTACCCTATTGGCATTAACCTGTGTCAGAAATCACCTGATGGGATCCTCAGACAAGGAATTCCCTCCAATGTTACATATGAAAGTTGACCCACCTGCTAAGCTTTTGCAGGTTAGTGTATAGGAATTTGTTCGCCCATTATCCCAACATTAAGGCTCTATCCACTTCCAGTTGACCTCTAACTATTAACCATAATCACTATCATGCCCTGTGCCTTGTTAGAGCCTGAATGCTTTGCCTAGCACCCAATGTCCTAAGTGGAACTGTGAACGTGGTCCTGTGCATCTCTCTGTGTTCATATCAGCACAGCAGCCGATTAAAATCTGAACCTTTTCCCTTTAAATTGGTATTAGTCATGTTTTTCAATACTGAAATTGGACTGCTGAGTTTTTTTAAAATCTAATTTTGTAGTTATCCCTATTAGATGTTATCTGCTTCATTCCTGCTTGTCTAGTTCTGATTCTGTCATCTTGTGCATTATTTATTACCTCTAGTTTTGTGTCATCTGAAATTTGATAAGCATGCCTTCTGTCTCCACTAAGCAGTTGTCAAAAGTGTTAGAATGTATATATTGATGACAAGAATAATAAAAACACCCACTCCACTAATTTTGTCTTACATATCTTCCTGCATGTGCAATGAAAGACTGTTTTTAGGAAAATGGACATTGTTGACATGAATAAATTTATAAATTTGTTCCCCCACAAATATTTATTGAAAATCCCCCAAACACACCATATTATATACTTCAGAGTCACACAGGAAACATAAAAATATGTTCTTTAACCTTGAAGAACTCACAATCCCATATAGAATACAAAGCATCCCAAACTGGAGCTATGATAAGGGCACATGAGAGGTATAGCAACAAAGTACCACTGGAAGTTTAGGGAAAGTGATATCTCAGTGGCTAATGGGAGTGGGATAAAACTACTTGAAGATGATTAAACTTGGTTTAGACCTTGAATTATTTCTAGGATGTGAAAAATTAGAAGGAGAGAATGAGAATTCTAAGGAAAATTAGCTATGGAAGTTTGTCTCTTGTTCGCTTAAATTCTAATACAGATATTCATGACTGGTTCCTCACTCTTCTCCAAGCAACTTGCAGGGATTAATTTTTTTTCCACTTCATGTCTCTAACTCTTCAAAAGTTAGCATTCAGGTGGCCATGCTCTCCTCCCTCAAGCTAGAAGACAGGGAAAGAACATAATAGCGACAGACCTGATAGGCCTTAAGGGCCAGATGAGGAAGGGAGGCTTTATCACCTCTACACACATTCCCCGGCTAGACTTCAATCACACAACTACAACTACTTCAAGCTTTGGGGTCAGAAAGAACAAACAGGGTCCCTCCCTGGTGGCATAGGGGCTAAAGTCTCAGCACTATCAAGCTATCACCAGCCACTGTGGCATGACTTCAATCCCCAGCCAGGGAGCTGACCCACATGGCACAGCAGACCTCTCCTGTCTCAACTGCTGCTCCCCTCAGCAGTGTACTTCAGTCACCCTGCCTGTTCTGCTCCCCACTCTGTCTCTGGTGGATCCTCTCACCCCCCACACCTCTGGCCAACACCCTAGTTCTCATATGCATAAATAAATAAAAATAAATCTTAAAAAAATAATGAGAAGTGCTTAGAAAAGAGCTTAGGATAGTATTTAGTGCCTAATAAGTACTCAACAAATATACCTATTGACAGGTTTTAAACAAGTTTTGTACATATTTTCCTACCAAAGTTCAAACCCATATCCTGAATTAAGTGTCATCAAGATACCCAAATGCTTCCCAGCAGAACTTGTGGCCTTCCTTGACCAACAACCAAATGTCACCCACATTTGTAAACATAGATCTAACACACATTTCTTGAAGCCTTTTACACACCAGGATATACATGTATGTGTGTACAAACACACATGCTTACACAAACAATGCATGCATTCCAGGGCCCTAATAAGTCCCCTTCATTTCCTTATGAAATGGTTTTATTTCCTTATAAAGAACAGTGAAAGGTCAATTTTGCAAAACCAGGTATCTTGTGGAATCCACCCACAATTGTTTTAATACGTTGTTAGTACATGTTTTCTTCTTTGTCTCAGTGAAATCATTCTCTATTCCTCCACTTCTTCCTGCTCCTATTC